GTAGCCCTCCCTCTGTAGTAGTAGGGTCTCGATGTTACCTCCTCTCCTTGGTAGAGCAACATGCTCAATGCCTGTGTATTTAAGGGAGGAGATGGGATGGTTAGCTTCAACAAAGTGAGCTGCTACTGGATAGTGTTCTTACACCTGATTGAGCTGCGGTGTTCAGCTATGCATTGTTTTAATTGTATTTTCATTTGTCCTACGTAGGCTTTCCCACATGTACAGGTGATGAGATAGATTACTCCCTTTGTCTTGAATGAGATGATACACCTAACAGGGATTTTTCTACCTTTCTCACAGAAAGTGTTGAGCCCATATTCTCCTACTCCCTGATCATGATACCTATTGAATTTCTGACAAAAAAATATGTTCATAATGTTAACTCCTCTGTGACTTGTTCATGTGTCCCGGAGGGTTTGTTTCTCTATTCTCCCACTTGTGCAAGTGTGTGTGTGTGTATGTCTCTCGCTCTCCTTCTCCACTTGAACTCTTCTCTGAAGCCTGTGCCCTGCAAGGCCCTCTCCTCTAGCCTGACCTGCAGACTCCAGCTCCTTAGCATGCCGACTCACTGGAGATGTAAACTTTAATGCCAGCCTGCCATGCCAGATGTTCACCAGAATATGAAATGAGGACTTTAGGCATCTGCTTACAATTTTAGATAATTGCAGGTAGAGCATGCAAGGTCAATTGGACCAATTAGATTTTTATGTACAAACCTGCTGCTGCAGTTATGGGGCGTCCATTTTCTCTCTCTTTCTCACTCGCTCTCCCGCTCTCGTTTTCCCCTGCACAAGGTTTGTATTTTTTACAGGAAACAGGACCTTAATTCCATACAGTGTCGGTTTGGATTTTGGATTCTCTGTCAAAACAAACAGTGATTGCCAGGGCTTTGGCCCGACAACTGGGCCGCTTTAACCAGAAGAGCCCCTTGTTCGCCATGTTTGTCTTATTCCCACTTCCAGAGGAGGAAGGTGTTTTGCTCCCATTAGCTAAACACGGTCCTGTTTATATCCCTGCAACTCAAACCAAATATGTGGTGGGTTTTCACTGCTAAATTACACTGCTGGTGGTCATCTTTCAAGTCATAATGTTTTGAAATTATCTCAAATTCAGAAAGTCAAGCATATGCCGTTGGTGGTAATGAAGGATAAAATAATTTATCTCGCTCAAACAAAACTAACTGAGAAGTATGATAAATGATAAACCACATTATAGAACACTGAGGACATTTTCAGAGGAAATATTCAGTTTGCATTTTACATCCATCACTTGTGCCTCTCACCAGACCAAACCTTTGTATAGCGAGAAAAAGAGAAGAAGTTAGAGGAGAGAAAAAGTGGGCCCTTGGGTTTTTCTCTACGGACCTGCTGCCTGGACTGGGATAGAGAGAGAAGGAAGGAGAGACCGCCGGACAAAAGTAAGTGTGGCGCTCCAGGCGCTAGGATCAGGTTCACCAGAGCAGGAAAAGCATCATTATGGCTCTCAGGACCCAGTGGAGTAGCGTTCAGGAACACCATGGGGTCTTATCCCACCTCGTTCACAAATAAACACTTCCACGCCATTAACAACCAGCCTGGCAGCCAATTGGCCTTAACAAAACAGGCTCTTTAAATGACTATTGGATGCAGAATGCGCCTCCCCAGTGCACTTCGAGGAAGATGTCTGTCTAGGTGAGGGGTTGCTACCGATCTGTCTTGATGCCACACACCACCATCAACAAATTTTTCGGACTATCAAAAAATACGGCAAACTAGTGAACCGACACCGTTATGCCACTGTTTTCACAGTCTGATTGACTGTGACCAAAATACAATACAATAATAAAGATGACTAAAATGCGACAAGAAGCAAAGATATGTGCAAGATATCAGCATCGTTGTGTCTCAAAGGCTTTTGGTCTGACGTCATGAGATGTTCTTTTGACTGTATCATTTTGTAGCGAATTTAGTAGAGATTGAAAAACATATATATACAAGATGACTGTGGGACTGTGATGGGTATCTATCATCTATGATCAGTCTGTATGAGAAGTGTTAGAAAGTAGAGTGTGAGTGTGTAGCGGTGGGGTTAGTGAGTGTGTAGCGGAGGGGTTAGTGAGTGTGTAGCGGTGGGGTTAGTGAGTGTGTAGCGGTGGGGTTAGTGAGTGTGTAGCGGTGGGGTTAGTGAGTGTGTAGCGGTGGGGTTAGTGAGTGTGTAGCGGTGGGGTTAGTGAGTGTGTAGCGATGGGGTTAGTGAGTGTGTAGCGGTGGGGTTAGTGAGTGTGTAGCGGTGGGGTTAGTGAGTGTGTAGCGGAGGGGTTAGTGAGTGTGTAGCGGAGGGGTTAGTGAGTGTGTAGCGGAGGGGTTAGTGAGTGTGTAGCGGAGGGGTTAGTGAGTGTGTAGCGGAGGGGTTAGTGAGTGTGTAGCGGAGGGGTCCGTGAGTGTGTAACCTGCCAACTGGCTTCCAGCTTGGTTGTGACCTTGTGAGAACACTATTCTCTGTCTTCGGGCCGGCCTATTATTAGCTGCTGCTGGCCAAAAGCACTAATACTCTGGACAAACATACTGCCTCCCCCCTGAGCTCAGACCTGACCTGGCCGTCAATATAGTCCCCCCACCCCAACCACCAAATACCAACCCCCCTATACCAACCCCCTATCTTCATCAGCTCCCTCAGCCAATGATCCAGGCACTTTACCCCCCCACCAATTCCCCTTTTATTAATCTCCCCTTCAATGGCCCACTATTTATCCACCCCAATAAAAGAAAATCTCAACCATTGAGTTGAAGAACTGATTAATCTATAATTAAAGCTGTGTTTGGGGAATACATATATACATAGATATATATATAATGTATTATATTATTATTAGCTTTTATATATTTATAAGGTTATTTAATTCTCTGGATTTTGCTTCCCACTGCTTTTACCAATTTACTTGTGAAATAAAATATTGATTAAGAATGTTTAAAAATGTGCAAATGGATTGTAAAGTTTACCTGGAAATTATACATATTATAGCCTTCGATTAAATAAACTTCAGTTGATGAGGAAGAGGTGCAAAAAATAGTGATCCTTTTTATTGCATACTAAAAGATATGCACACAACAATGGCATCATTCTGTAGAAAAATAAGGTAAAAAAACTAAACGTTCTAAAACACTCAATCATGTTTTGTTGTTGCTTGAGTAATACATTGGTCAGAACATTTCTTGCACGTGGTAAGTAATTTGAAATTACATTTCCTTGCCAACACTGACCACTCCACCACCATAAAAAAGCATTTACATAGGAATGTGCAGCTAATTGCCGTTTTATGCCAGTTCAATTATTGGCATGAATTATTCAGCCTATTTTCACTTCCTGTCTTTCTTTGGCTTATAACAGGGAAAAAATAAATCTGCTCTATGGACGAATAACTTATTCGTTTTGCACTTACTGTACTCTTGGCCCGTGGGTCCTTTCCTCACCCTCCCTGCGTTGAAAATAGTCCCCCTTTTGTGAATTAAATAAACACTTTATAATAAAGGAAACGCTTATTAAATCCAGTGTACTGGTGGACCTCCAAAGAAAACTGCAAGCTATACTTGAGTAGCTCCTATACTGTCATGTATCAGTCGTACAGTATTCCACTACCACCTGCACAAAAACAAACCCCACATCTAAGAGCACAGGCCAGCAAATTCATTGAGAAAAGCATGTTGTACAGACAAAATAAAGACCTATTGAGTATGACTGAGAGTCACACATACTTGATACCTACTGTAGTTTCACTATCATCACCAGTCCATATCATAATGCCAAAATACACTCAACACTGGGTAGGCGGCCAGTTGCCTATATGGTTGGTGTCAGTGAGGGTTATATTGACATTACCAGGGCTGTGTTCATTATGGCACAGCGTAGAAAAAGCGTTTTGCACCGGAAAACGAAAACGAGAGTTCATTATTGGACAAGTACAGATAATACCTCCCTGTTTCATTCCGTTTTGGAGTTTTCTTCCAATCGGTGCTTAATAATGAACACAACCCAGGTGCTCCCTTTTGATAGGAGCAAGTGCAGTCCAGGTAAACAATGGCAATCCCTTCACAGTCATCCTATGATTTCCAATAATAGACAGAACTCCATACACTTGACAGAACTCCATACGCTTGAGGGATAGGATCAAAAAATATTTTAAAAAATCCAACAAGAGGTTTTCCTCTAGAATAATACCACTTAATCAAGACTGGCGACCATCTGGAAATTAAAACGCTGAAAAATCAGAGGGAGAGAAATCAAAACTCTAAACTGGAGACTTCGTTACCTTACAACCTTAATGACAACACTGTCAGTTCCAATCATTTCAGCGCAGGTCCAAAATCCATTTTTCAAACTTTATGACAGCTCTAATAGCTTCCACCTGTTCCTGGGATCCCGCCTGTTGACTGGCAAGTTCCCAGTGAGATGTGGGGATGTAGACAAAGACCTCTATTAGGTGCTGTCTGCCTCTGCTACAGTGAGGTCACTCAGCCATTAAATTAGTTCCAGCCCAGCAGACTGCCCCCCAACCCACAGCATGGTTGGTGGACCAACCACCATCTCTCTCTACGTCGCATTCGCTTTCTCTCTCTCTTTTTTATCACTCTATCACTCTCTCCTGATCCCCTGTAATGGTGCAGATGCTGCTCTCGCTGCACTGCTGTCTCAAAACTTCACTTTCATTTAGACACCACTACTAATCCCAGAATCACCTCGTGGCACTACGCTGACAAGGGTATCACAGTGCGTATGTCATTGTATATGTCAATGTTCATTTAACAATGCTTGTAAACTCAACATCTACCACCCACACCCGCTAAGCCCCGGATGCTAACTAGAGATATGAGTGCAGCCAACTCGTACTTCTGCGTAAATCATTGATTGACGTCAATGGAGAGTTCTGTGAAACTTCAAGTTGGACTAAGTCTTAGGTTAGAATTTGGCCCTTGCTGACCGGCTACCCCCCTCCCTCCCTGTCCCAGAGCAAAGTGCAGGTAACATTACCCCAATAGCAGGTCCATGGTGGTGGGGGTGACCTGTGTGTAGAGCAGGGTGCGCCCCAGCGTGTGGGTCTCCAGGTGCTGGCTGTAGGTCTGCAGGCTGAACTGCTTGCAGTTCTGGAACTCTGGGGGGTCCGTGACCAGGGCCAGGATCCCCTCGGGCAGCAGGGGGGGCCCAGCCTGGAGATCCACACTGGGGACCACTTTGAGGGAGGCCTTGGAGGACTTGAGCAGCCTCTCGTTGTCCACTTGTGTGTGCAGCCAATTCAGGAAGTTAGTCCTGCGCTCCTGGAGACACAGAGGAAGAGAAGGCCTGTGTGATGAGTAACTGAAGGAATCCTAGGTTTTAATTTCATTCATGAGTTACAGTGATATGGTCATATTTCGTCATATCATATGGCTCCCATCCTTCCATGAAAACATACACGACATTTCCAAAAGTATGTGGACATCTGCTCGTCGAACATCTCATTCCAAAATCATGGGCATTAATATGGAGTTGGTCCCCCCTTTGCTGCTATAACAGCCTCCACTCTTCTGGGAAGGCTTTCCACTTAATGTTGGAACATTGCTGTGGGGACTTGCTTCCATTCAGCCACAAGAGCATTAGTGAGGTCGGGAAATGATGTTGGGCGATTAGGCCTGGCTCGCAGTCGTTGTTCCAATTAATCCCAAAGGTGTTCGATGCGGTTGAGGTCAGGGCTCTGTGCAGGCCAGTGAAGTTCTTCCACACCGATCTCGACAAACCATTATTTTTTGTTGTTGTAATTTTACCCCCTTTTTCTCCACAATTTTGTGATATCCAATTGCAATCCAATTACAATCTTGTCTCATCGCTGCAACTCCCCAACAGGCTCGGGAGAGCCGAAGGTCGAGTCATGCGTACTCCGAAACATGACCCGCCAAGCTGCACTGCTTCTTAACACCTGCTCGCTTAACCCGGAAGCCAGCAGCACCAATGGGTCGGAGGAAACACTGTTCAACTGACTTAACCCGGAACGAACCCGAGGCTGTAGTGACCCCTCAACACCGTGATGCAGTGCCTTAGACCGCTGCGCCACTCGGGAGGCCCTTCAACAAATCATTTCTGTATGGACCTCACTTTGTGCACGGGAGCATTGTCATGCTGAAACAGGAAAGGGCTTTCTTCAAACTGTTGCCACAAAGTTGGAAGCACAGAATCGTCTAGAATGTAATTGTATGCTGTAGCGTTAAGATTTCATATCACTGGAACTAAGGGGCCGAGCCCGAACCATGAAAAACAGCCCCGACCATTATTCCTCCTCCACCAAACTTTACAGTTGGCACTATGCATTGGGGCAGTTAGTGTTCTCCTGGCATCCACCAAACCAATATTCATCCATCGGACTGCCAGATGGTGAAGCGTGATTCATCACTCTAGAGAGCATGTTTCCACTGCTCCAGAGTCCAATGGCGGCGAGCTTTACACCACTCAAGCCGACGCTTGGCATTGCGCATGGTAATCTTAGGCTTGTGTGCGGCTGCTCGGCCATGGAAACCCATTTCATGAAGCTCCTGACGAACAGTTCTTGGGCTGACGTTGCTTCCAGAGGCAGTTTGAAACTTGGTAGTGAGTGTTGCAACCGAGGACAGACGATTTTTACACGCTACGTGCTTCAGCACTCGGCTGTCCCGTTCTTTGAGCTTATGTGGCCTACCACTTCGCGGCTGAGACGTTGTTGCTCCTAGACGTTTCCACTTCACCACAACAGTGCTTACAGTTGACCGGGGCAGCTTTAGCAGGGCAGTAATTTGACGAAATGACGTGTTAGAAGGTGGCATCCTATGACAGTGCTAAGTTGAAAGTCACTGAGCTCTTCAGTAAGGCCATTCTACTACCAATGTTTGTGTATGGAGATTGCATGGCTGTGTGCTCGATTTTATACACCTGTCAGCACGGTGTGGCTGAAATAGCAGAATCCACTAATTTGAAGGGGTGTCCACATACTTTTGTATATAAAACTGACACCTATGATGCCATCTTTATCAATGACAATCAACATGAAATATGAATAGAGTTAAAAAGCCGAGCTGAAGCCAGTCTTAAATTAGATAATCAACGGCTGTGGATAATCAATTACATGGCTGAATTAGGCGCTGGTCCCCAGAGTGGTGAAACATTCTGTTCCAGTCACTTCTCATCCATCAAAAGGGTCACACACTTTATGACTCCCACCAGAAAACATCTCTCCCGTGTTTTAGAACCATGTGTAACACTAAACATGTTGCTCAATATGTCAGCGGATGCCCTTCCTCCACAGAGGGATTTGACATGATCCTCATCTACTATGATACTGTATATGGACACTACCAGACAGAGAATATTTCCCTTGCATTCACTGCAGGCTAGATCATTTGTTCCCAGCCAAAAACAGCAAAGTGAATTGTGTGAATTAAAAGTAATTTTTTGCTTTAATCACACAATTTTTTTTTACAAATCTAGTAGCTTATAATTTCAAATATCCAGGTTCTTTGCCGTAATGTTACCGGATATTACAAATAAGTTAAAAAGAAATAACTATGCTTCTAGTGATGTTCCTTACTGTAAAATGTGAAATGTATAGCCAAAGAATGAACTGAGGGCCTTTTGTAGACACAAAAGGATACAAAACCGCTTCTAAAGTCAAACCACTTTAAACATGATCACTAAACAGCTCTACCTTATTGAGAATTTTTAAAAGCCCAGCAAGAAACAGTAGAATTCTAAATAAATGCAGAGTCATAATGCATAAGATTGTGCTGCTACCAAGGCCCCAATTCTAGCGTTAGTTTTAGCCATGGGCAAACAGAATGCCTTGCATCTATTGACTGGTCCTCTGTAGCTCAGCTGGTAGAGCACGGCGCTTGTAACGCCAAGGTAGTGGGTTCGATCCCCGGGACCACCCATACACAACAATTTATGCACGCATGACTGTAAGTCGCTTTGGATAAAAGCGTCTGCTAAATGGCTTATTATTATTATTGTTATACCCCATAGAACCTCACTGTCTGCAAAAAGCAAACCACACCTCTGCCTCTCATTGTCAAGTGCTTTGTTTAACCTAACACTGGAGAGACGTCGCCCACAGGGATCCCCAACAATGACTAACACCATTACACACTGGCCAGTCCATCATGGCCTCTGTCTCTGCAGCCCCAATAGAGAGAAACCTAGCTAGCGTTTTTCCAGTAGAGAAGTAACACTTATTTTGACGACGAGCCTCGAGTCGTGTGAGGGGAGAGTAAATTGGCCACTTCATTTAAAGGTAATGAGCTAGAGAAGATGAGACCATGAGCTGTCACGATTATTTTATCTACTAACACTTTTCAGCAAGTGTTCAGGAAGGGAGGGAGGGGGGCATCTTCACTTGCCTTTTGTCTTTAGTTCAGTCGTGAGGAAGAGAGAGCTACAAATACCAGGCTCAATTGAAGTGGGAATGTTGAGGGGTATGGAGGTGGCAGTGGTGTGTATGGAGGGGAGTAGCAGAAATACAAAGTTGATCATTCAGAAGAACCACCACTCATGAGTTTTGACGGGTGGCCACCCCACAGGGGCCACTATATAAAGAGGAGAGGAGAGAGGAAGGTTCTGTAAAAAGGATACGTTGTGCCCCTTTTATCTCCCCAAATTAGGAAATTTTTTTAACAACCTTTCAAGGCACCATCTGCTGCCCAAACGTATATGATTAGCACCCCCTTGGCAACGAGAGAGGACAGGGATGATGGCCTAATTAGCCCAAATCCATATTTAGCGAATACAGTGATGGTTAATCAATTAGAGTCGCTTATCTGCATGCCTCAATTATCTGCTTTATGCCAATCACAAAGGAGAGAGTCGTCCCTGGAGACTTATTGGGCCACTGTTAACAAGTCTGACATCTTTGGGCTTACAGGGATAAGGAGGAGGGGGCTCAGTGGGTTTCTCTATTGAAAGCACTGACAGTGTCTGCTGCTTCCACAAAACAAGTAGGCTATACTTATACTGACTAGAAAATATCTATCTGAAGGAGGAATAAGTGAGCGAGGAGAGAGAGAGAGAGAGAATTGATGAAGTGAGCAGCAGAGTGAAATGGGGGATAAACCCTCCCATGATGAAACCTGTCTGCGTGGGGAACTGACTAAACCCATGTTATGTGACGGGGTAGAGCAAGGGAGCCTGGGTAGTAATGATACCACCAGTACCAGCACTACAAATTCCAGAGCTTGCACTGGCAGATGCACACAGTCCATCCACTCTCTCTAGTCAAGACACGGTGCACAGAGCAAACTCTATCCACCAGCCTCACCGTCTTCCTCCTCCCCCCACAAAGCACCTTCCATTTTTCAAGAACAATCTGGAAGCAGTCCCACATGCCCTCGCTTTCATCATCCTGGTGTTTGTTGTAACAAAGTGGCAGGGGCAGTGGGGTGAAGAGGTCACAACCCAGTCCAAACACACTGAACAGTCATAATAATACTACAGTTTGGGCCTTTTCTACGTTGTCGGGCACAAGGAGGCCAACTAGGGCCAAGTGGATGGATAAATAAGTCACTTAACTTGTCAGAGTCGTTCAAGTGGGCCCATCAGAGGTGATCTGCCAGGTGGAGGGCAAACGGTATGATGCGCCTCTCCTGTCCAGGGTACGTTTTGAGGTCTTTATTTGACATAATTGGCTAATGCGTAAGTTTTGGGGCTCATAAATCAAGGGCAAAGGGATTTTGATTTGGACATACAAGTTCTTTAATACATTTTTCAGTAAGTGTACACAATGACTACTCAAGAACATTAAACAAACTGACTGAAATATTTGCTCTTTGCTAAGATGCATCACCACAACAAAAATGATAAATTATCAGAGAGAGCAAAATAGAGATTTGCTTCCACCTAGGGGATAATTATTTCACCACAGGCTGCAGGGTGCGTAGGGAAACTTCTGCTGTCATTTGTCTCCCCCTTCCAAGCAACCTGTCTTTCAGAGTAATGGGTACAACAGAGTAGAGTACCATAACACATGGGCTGCAGTCTTGAGACCCTGGCTTAAATAATGACATTTTCACAATCCTTTCCCAATTCAAGTGTGGCATTTCAGCATATCTGCCTATCTGACAGACCTACTCTAGACTCTAGAGCCCTTTTTGGTTTTATGCTACATTACCCATAACTTCTGAGGTTGAAGCCTCCAGAAACAGCCTCGCTGTGTGTGGTCCTGAGGCATTTCACTTCCTGCTCTCATAGGCCCATCAGATGCCTTAGCCTGGCTGGGCCCTCGGAGATCCCTCTGAGGTGGGGGAGTAAATCCATCTCAAACACTGATTAACTTCCAGTGCAAATTCCCCACATACCACAGCAGCACATAGCACTGTGCCAGCGGGCCTATTACAATATCAATGAAAGAGCCAGGGGCCTCATCATCATCAAACACAATAGAGGAATAAAGCCTCAGCCTGCCAGGCGCAAGTTGACTGGAAGGAGTAAGCTTCAGCCTGCCAGGCAGTGACTGGTTGTACACAACAGACTTGTATCACTTTTTAAACCGTCAATTCACTAATTTCACATAGAGAAATTGCATTGTGCACTGACCAATAAGGTGTGTGGGTGTGTGTGTGTGTGTGTGTGTGTGTGTGTGTGTGTGTGCTACCACTTCCGTCCATGTCAGGTATTTTCCTGGCCACACACACACAATCCGTCCATCCATCCATCCAGCCACCCACACACATGTGCTCGTAAACGCACACACACACACACACACACACACACACACACACACACACACACACATACATACATACATACACAACTAAACTCAGCAAAAAAAGAAACGTCTCTTTTTCAGGACCCTGTCTTTCAAAGATAATTCGTAAAAATCCAAATAACTTCTCAGATCTTCATTGTAAAGGGTTTAAAACTGTTTTCCATGCTTGTTCAATGAACCATAAACAATGAATGAACATGCACCTGTGGAACGGTCGTTAAGACACACAGCTTACAGACGGTAGGCAATTAAGAAAACTTAGAACACTAAAGAGGCCTTTCTACTGACTCTGAAAAACACCAAAAGAAAAATGCCCAGGGTCCCTGCTCATCTGCGTGAACGTGCCTTAGGCATGCTGCAAGGAGGCATGAGGACTGCAGATGTGGCCAGGGCAATAAATTGCAATGTCCATACTGTGAGACGCCTAAGACAACACTGCAGGGAGACAGGACGGACAGCTGATCGTCCTCGCAGTGGCAGACCACGTGTAACAACACCTGCACAGGATCGGTACATCCGAACATCACACCTGCGGGACAGGTACAGGATGGCAACAACAACTGCCCGAGTTACACCAGGAACGCACAATCCCTCCATCAGTGCTCAGACTGTCCGCAATAGGCTGAGAGAGGCTGGACTGAGGGCTTGTAGGTCTGTTGTAAGGCAGGTCCTCACCAGACATCACCGGCAACAACGTCGCCTATGGGCACAAACCCACCGTCACTGGACCAGACAGGACTGCCAAAAAGTGCTCTTCACTGACGAGTCGCGGTTTTGTCTCACCAGTGGTGATGGTCGGATTCGCGTTTATCGTCGAAGGAATGAGCATTACACCGAGGCCTGGACTCTGGAGCGGGAGCGGGAGCGGGAGCGGGAGCGATTTGGAGGTGGAGGGTCCGTCATGGTCTGGGGCGGTGTGTCACAGCATCATCGGACTGAGCTTGTTGTCATTGCTGGCAATCTCAACGCTGTGCGTTACAGGGAAGACATCCTCCTCCCTCATGTGGTACCCTTCCTGCAGGTTCATCCTGACATGACCCTCCAGCATGACAATGCCACCAGCCATACTGCTCGTTCTGTGTGTGATTTCCTGCAAGACAGGAATGTCAGTGTTCTGTCATGGCCAGCGAAGAGCCCGGATCTCAATCCCATTGAGCACGTCTGGGACCTGTTGGATCGGAGGGTGAGGGCTAGGGCCATTCCCCCCAGAAATGTCTGGGAACTTGCAGGTGCCTTGGTGGAAGAGCGGGGTAACATCTCACAGCAAGAACTGGTAAATCTGGTGCAGTCCATGAGGAGGAGATGCACTGCAGTACTTAATGCAGCTGGTGGCCACACCAGATACTGACTGTTACTTTTGATTTTGACCCATCCTTTGTTCAGGGACACATTATTCAATTTCTGTGGAACTTGTTCAGTTTATGTCTCAGTTGTTGAATGTTGTTATGTTCATACAAATATTTACACATGTTAAGTTTGCTGAAAATAAACAGTTGACAGTGAGAGAACGTTTCTTTTTTTGCTGAGTTTATAATTGTCTAGTTAAATGTTTATTGTGGCAGCCCTAGTCCAGACCAGCTCCAGACAGGTCTGACAATGTAGAAACCATTTTGATTCTTAATACATGCAAATCTATGTCCAATATATGCAACAGGTTTAGAACAGGTTTATGTGTCCAGAGGGCAAGTAAATAAGAAGTGAGAGCAGGGCTCCACAAGAACACAAACAGTAGAGCTAGAACAGACCTTTGATCAGCAGAAAGCAGTCAGCCTCATGACAGTTCTAGCTGAGAGACTGATGAGCTAACATTGGTAAAGCAGTAGAAGGGTTTTTTATTCAACTTGAGGATGGGAGTCATGTAAGACCTCTAACAGACAAGAGAGTTGATGGCTTCCAAACCCAGTTGTCTGGATTTTGTGGGGCAGGCTAGCCAGCCATTTTCACACCACAGGCCAATGGAGAAATATATATAATTTGTGGCTGATCAAATATACGGTAGGGAAGCCTGGGTCACATTCAGTTGGATTCATTCACCATATGCAACACACACTGACTGATGCAAATAGAAAATTCCATGAATAGAGCAGTCATGAATCCTTACTCTATATGTCTGTTCTACACAATAGACTTCTAAATAGATAACTGCACGTTCCAAAAACCTTGTGACCTCTGAACACGGCCCTGGTTGGGAGAGGCCTCAGCTGTAACGGAAAGGTAGCAGAGGAGGAGTCAGGTAGAGTATGTACCTCAGAGGTGGCGAGGAGGTAGACATGGCTGGGGGGAGGGGCCTGGCTCAGCTCACAGCTCAGGCCCAGGGACGTGAGGATCTCCGTCAGGACCTCGAAGCGTTGCTCATCAAAACCCTCCAACGAAGCAACATCCTCAGCGCCGTCTCCAGGTGCACCTGAAGTCATGGGACTCTAGTATGTTGAGTCAGGGTGTGGAGTTCTATGTTGTTATTTCTATGTTCTCATTCTAGGTTGTGTGTTTCTATGTTTGGCCGGGTGTGATTCCCAATCAGAGGCAGCTGTCGCTCGTTGTCTCTGATTGGGGATCATACTTAAGTAGCCTGTTGGCAATCAGTTGTTGTGGGATCTTGTTCCGTGTAGAGCAGGGTTCTTCAATTCCGGTCCTGGAGGGCCGAAACACCTCTGTTTTTCATCCTCTCCTTCTAATCAGGGGCTAATTCAGACCTGGGACACCAGGTGAGTGCAATTAACTACCAGGTAGAACTAAAAAACAGAAGTGTTTCGGCCCTCCAGGACCGGAATTGAAGAACCCTGGTGTAGAGGCTTGTATTGTGTTTAGCCTGAGGACTAAACGTTATGTTGTTCGTGTTTAATATAAAGATAAACACATGTATGCATTTCACGCTGCACCTTGGTCTGACCCGTCCTTCAACGAACGTGACAATGACTGATAAAGAGACATAGCTACACACACAGTGGTGTGCAAGACTTTACCTGACACAGCACGGCCTCCCCTCCCTCCACTCCACGCTTCACCCTGACGATGACCATGTCCTTGTCCACACCATCCCTGTCCCCCTTCAGCTCTCCCCAGAGCTCCACCTCTCCAGGGTCCTCCCAACACCACTCTGGGGCTCCCTAACAAACACACTCCCACTGGCCAGCCCACTCAGATCCAGCTCTGTGGTATCAGCCCTGGTGAAGCTCAGCTTGCTGATCTGGTTCCTCCTGCTCTTCCTGGGCACCAGGGCCAGCCCCGTGGGGAAGAGGGTGGAGGAGAGCCCCAGGACCCTCCCACCCTGCTCCAGGTATGCCAGGAAGCAGGCCTGGAGCTGGGGGGTGAGGGGCTCGTCCGAGGCCAGCACTAGCAGGGCGACGCTCTCCAACCAGCGTTCACTGAGGGCCTGCTGTGGCCTCAGGGGGTACACCATGTAGCTGTCCATGTCGATGCACTCGCACAGCAGTGAACGCACCCTCTGAAACCTCTCCTGGCAGCCACCCGTGTACACCAGCACATTGAGGGGCTTCCCGCTAACGTTGACCCGCCGGCTCTGACCACGGAAGCTCTCTGCCTCATTCTCCTCGAATTTGTCCAGAGTCTCGTCCCCGCTGTCCATGCACGTGACGTAGTCATTGGGAAGGTTGGAGATGTTGTCGACGAGGCGTACTTGACGGAGAGGATGGTGCTGTTCTCCAGCTCCAGGCACTCGTGGCAGCTGGACAGGTGGAGGTGGTGGCCATGGCCCTCCATGTGCTGGTGGTTGTTGCCCAGGGAGTCCCCGCTGTCCACCCCAGTGCTGGCTCCTCGTAGGGGCTCCGAGCCTCGTCTCTCCACTAATGCCCTATGGACCTCTGGTGGTAGGAGCAGGCTGCCCTTCCTGTGTTGTGTTAGCTGGGTGTCGCCTCTCTCTGAGAGTACCTCCCACTCACAGGGAGAAGGCTCAGAGAGAATGATCTCAGTCTGTTTTTTGAGGGAGAGGGAAGTGATGTGCTTCTCTGACTTTCCCTTCTCCAAAAGTTATTTGAGAGCAGATTCTCTGAGCAGGACTGCTGGGGAAATGGGCACAAAGGGCAATATTTTAATTGCAAAATGTGGCCCCCTCTCCGTTTTAAGCAATGTGAAACAATGTCATAATAGATTTGGAAAACTGATTTGGATAATGTTTTTGGATATAGCCTAGCGTTAACAATAATTAAGTGAAGTTCTGAGATAGCATTGGCCAACAACTGTAACTGCATTTAGGACAAAAAAAAGGCTTTAAAAAAATGACTTACAGTCCTTCCACTTCAAAAAGCCCAAGAAAGACACCCACCATCTCAGATTGTTCTGAAATGGTTTCTGTAGTTAGAAACAGATAATATTAGTATGCCTGAAACATTATTTTGTTAAAAGATATATATAAATTAAGCTAATTGATTGCACCTAAATTGTCCATTTGAAGTTATAGGATTCATATAGTTTTCTATAAATATAGTACCCAACATCCGATTTGGACCAAACATCTTCACATCTTCTCAAAAATGTTTAAGACAAAGGCCACCCAAGGACCCCCCCCAAACCCCGCACCAAGCCCACCCCAATGGCCAGTAAACAGTATAAGATCTCTATGTTTGACAAGTAGTTTGAAGTTGCGCCTTGGAGTATTGTTTAATCATACTATGTAATGTATTCTCAATTAATTTGGTGATGGTTCTCCCCGTTCAGAGAAATTAGCCATTGAAGTAGCTTGCATTTTCCCCCATAAATGAGTGTGAAAGCACCAGGTTGCGCCTACTAGATGCCGCTTTTTCTGCTATTGCCACACCCTTTTATCCATGTTGCTGGACTCCTGTGTTTATCAAATGGATCACAACATTTTCTTTGCAACTTTGGGTACAAAACCAACAGCTTTTGCTCATGATGAAAATAAATTGTGTGGTCATCCTCACAAGTCAAGCCAGTCCTCCATGAAAGCAATTCAGTTTGTCCTACTCTTAGCAACCTAATGCTTCAACCCAACTCTCCTTGACTAGTCCAATAAATGGCAGCTCATCTTAGAAGGCTATCCCTATGGTGCAATCCTCATATGAAGACTTTCCCTATCAGTCCAAACATTTTATGGAGAAATGGGCTAGTGACTGTTGTGACAACTCTAATAAAATAATACAATTACAAACCATTGCATTATTAGAAAACATATGTATACAGTGCATTCTGAAAGTATTCAGACCCCTTTACTTTTTCCACAATTTGTTACATTACAGCCTTATTCTAAAATGGATTAAATTGTTTTTTTCCCTCATGAATCTACACACAATACCCCATAACGACAAAGCAAAAACAGGAATATCTGAAAAATCACATTTACATAAGTATTCATACCCTTTACTTTGTTGAAGCACCTTCAGCAGCGATTACAGCATTGAGTCTTCTTGGGTATGACCCTACAAGCTTGGCACACCTTGCCATTGGGGTGGGCTTGGTGTGGGGTTTGGGTTTAGTTTAGTTTATTAATTCGACCATTCTAAAAAACAAGCACACATAAAACTTGAAAAAACCATACATGCACATGAGTAAAATCATCGAGGATAACACACAATAAAGGATTATTTCCATTGTGGTCCTTTTGAAACAAGATGTCTATGCAAGATCGAACACGGTTGAACACAGTATGACAGCGTGGGTGGCGTTTTACCATTTATTTGGATTCCTCGCATCTTAAACATTGTTAAGAGGTTTTTAAATGTTTTATTGTATGAATCCTATAAATTGAAATGGACAATTTTGGTGCAATCAATTATATTGAACAAAAATATGAACGCAACATGTAAAGTGTTGGTCCCATGTTTCATGAGCTGAAATAAAAGATCCCAGCAATTTTCTAAATCTAATATCTCACAGATTTTGTGCACAAATGTGTTTACATCCCTGTTAGTGAGCATTTCTCATTTGCCAAGATAATCCTTCCACCTGACAGGTGTGGCATATCAAGAAGCTAATTAAACAGCATGATCATTACACAGGTACACCTTGTGCTGGGGACAATAAAAGGCCACTCTAAAATGTGTAGTTTTGTCACACAACGCCACAGATGTCTCAAGTTTTGAGGGAGCGTGCAATTGGCATGCCTACTGCAGGAATGTCCACCAGAGCTGTTCCCAGATAGTTTAATGTTAATTTCTCTACCATAAGCCGCCTCCAACGCCATTTTAGATGCCTGCATACTCACCAGACATGTCACCCATTGAGCATGTTTGGGATGCTCTGGATCGACGTGTACGACAGCGTGTTCCAGCTCCAGCCAATATCCAGCAACTTTGCACAGCCATTGAAGAGGACTGGGACAACATTCCACAGGCCAAAATCAACAGCCTGATCAACTCTATACAAAGGAGATGTATCGCGGTACATGAGGCAAAGGGTGGTCACACCAGATACTGACTGGTTCTGATCCACACCCCTACCTTTTTTAGAAGGTATCTGTATTCCCAGTCATGTGAAATCCAAAGATTAGGGCCTAATTTATTTATTTCAATTGACTGATTTCCTTATATGAACTGTAACTCAGTAAAATCTTTGAAATTGTTGCATGTTGTGTTATATCTTTGTTCAGTGTAGCTTAATTTCTCAGAGTTCACATTATATTTCAACAAAATAATGTTGCAGAAATGCTTATCTTATCTGTTTCTAACTACAGAAACAATTTCAGAACAATCTGAGATGGTAGGTGTAGAAATCCTCTTTCTTGTGCTTTTTAAAGTGAAACGACCCATATTCAAGACTTCCTTTTAAAAGTATGACTTCCAAGAGGCCAGAGGCTTTCTCTTTCTTGGTGAATTTTTAAGGTAGAACAGCCCCATTGAACACAGAGTGGGGTTTCACTGTCCGGTGCAGTCCCACCCAGACATGAGGAACAATCGAGTGGAGGGAAACACTCGGAAGGAGAGACAAAGTGGCTCATCTCAGGTTCCAAACCTCTGTCCACTCAGCAAAAGAGAGGCCCGCTCCCAAACTCTCAAAGGCACAGGCATGCGTCCTCTCAGTCACGCACACATACACCTTCAATACAGTTAATGGCTGTATTGTGGACTTCAGTGTCTAGGGGTGATATAGCCTAACTGTGCCACACATTTGGGACCTATTCACTGCAATATAGAACCAGTGTATTTATGTTTTTTCTTACTCACTGTGCACAGAGGAAAGTTAAACATGTAGTTTTGAGTTACATTTGGTTGAGTTTTCAACTAATGTAAATTCAACGTGGAATCAACAAAAAATGTCACCATGTCATTGGATTTAGGTTAAAAGTTGGCTGACAAAATAACAAAATGCTCTGAGGTTGACGACTTTTTGCAAATCCAATCAGTTTTCCACGTTGATTCAACGTCATCACATAGATTTTGTGGGTTGAAATTAAATGGAAACCGCATTGATTCAACCAGTTTCTGCCTAGTGGGCAATCATAGAGTACTCTTCTTTACTAAACAGATATGTTTGTTCGCATATATGTTTGACAGTTTATATACTGTATATAAAACCTGCCAGTTTCTTCTCTTCTTGATAAATATACTTGTGATCCATACTTTTTTCTTTTTTGTAGTATGATGACGAGCCTGGCTGCCCACTCTTTGTCCTGACGTAGCCTCTATGATGAAAGAAATGTTCTCTACCCGTGGGCCACAACTCAGAGAAGACCCCCACAACAGTGTCCACTTGCTGATGTCATCACATGCCTAGGAACAATAATACAGACAACATAGACACTGATCAAGAGTATGGACACTGATGGTATGGCTAGATATTAAAGCATATTTTAGAAAGCTAGTAAGACTATGACATCTATGAAACTATGTAAATGACTGACATATAATGTAAGTTAATGTGCATCAAAAGGATTTATTTTGACTTGTTACCTCATTTATCGTCAAGCATGCATAAACTGATAACTAATGGAGTAGGCCTATTTCACATGATCGTCCACTGAATGGAACAATAAGTTGGCAATCTGGGCTTTGCCCATTCATTGCTACTGTAGCTGAGTAGCTAATATTTTTTACATGTCAAGGCCCCGGACGCTAGCTAAGCTATCTAACGGAACTAGCTAACTATCAAACAAACTTTTCACCTGTGATTCAGTTATGTAAATAGCTTTCTCGCCCAACTTGAGAAAAACGTCCTCCTCAGGCAGAGGTGGACTGAGCTGCTTATTGACACTTGTCTGCCAGGTTGGTTGTCCTTTCTGAAGAGGCTTCCCCTGTGGATTCAAGGCACAGAATATGAAGCTACTGACACTGGTTTTGTTCTCCCCGCACAGTCTGTGCAGGGTGCTCCGGATAACCACTGTGTAGCACTTTTGAAAGCGCACCCAGAGGTAGATGTAGCACAACGATATTAGCATTTTCTTTACATTTGGAAAGCAGTTTCTGAGCCCGTTATGGCCTTTTCTGCACAGAGCTCACGTTCGACCTAACCGTCACTTCCTTGTTGTTGACAGACTGGCTACACCAGCTAAAAATCATCATTAAGCATGCTCGGTCAGTGCAGACTGCAGCGCAAACATTCATCACGTGAGGGCGACAAAAGAGGGTGTATTTAGCAGACGCTCTTATCCAGAACGATTTACAGTAGTGAGTGCATACATTACCCTCTGGATGTAAAAAATTAGAAGGGATGAAAAGAGTACAAAAAGAAGCTCCTTATGGAAAATCAAGAGACACTTTTTGCTGACTATTATAAAAATGGGAAATAAGCAACTTAATCTTCCACACAGACCATCTCCTGGCATGGTGCAGTGCTATATTAACACACTACCCTTCTTGGGGTGTTAGCGATGGATGGAAACTCAGGATACTAGACAACGAGGACTCTGAGTCAGCCAATGTCAACCTGTACAAGTCTGGAACAGTAATGGTACAGGGCAACCCCAAACAGTTTCAGCTGTACTTTCACATAATCAAAGAGATAGCTCAGCAGGATAAGCTCTCTCTTGAGAAAGATACCCCCACCCCAAGCGTGTCAGACCAGACCTCTTAATTATACAACCCCACAGACGAGCAACCCCAAGCGGAAAGTCAACCTCCCAGCACAGAGTACTACTCCCTCATTGAAATGAAGGATAAATTCACCCAGCTGGAGGTAAGGCAGGTGGAGCTGGAAAAGCAGGTGACCACACTCCAGTCGGCACAAAAAGTTGTCCAGCTCAACAACACCCCCTCAACCAGAGCTGGAGGTGGAGAGAGACATATCTGCACTCTGGACTGTGGTGAGACAACAGGAGAAAGAGCAGGAGCAGGAGAAGAACAGAGCACTAGAGGAGAGGATCAGAGTGCTGGAGGAGAGGTTGAGGGGGATAGTGTGTGACAGAGAACAACCCATTAGAGAGCTGGCCACCCCCGCAGAGAAGCCAGCAGAACAGCCCACCTCAGACACTGACCAGTCTCGACACCACAGCAGAACAGTCCACCCCAGACCCTGACCATAGTCTCGACATCACAGCAGGACAGACAAATGAAGAGCCCCAAACCCAGGGGATCCGACCCCCTCTGAGCACCCCCCCCGTCAGCCACCGTGATATCGCTCCTGACAACCCCCCCACACCCACTGAGGACATACACAAGCCACAGATTGTACTCCTTATGGACTCAAACGGGAAACATGTATAAGAAAATAAACCCAAACACACAGTGTCTAAACTCTGGTGTCCAAACACCCAGAGTTCCATAGACCTTCTGTCTGAGGACCAACTAGGGTCACCCAGATACATAATAATACACACAGGCACAAACAACCTGAGAGCACAGCAGGAAAGGGTGGCCACAGCACTCAAGGGAGTGATTGAAAAAGCTTGTGGTTATCGCCACCCAGCTACTACGAAAATACTTCCACCCTACTACCATACAGTGGGTAAATGCAAGTATTTCCCGTGACTGTGCCTCAAAACCAATTGTTTACCTGGCCCGCCACTCCACCCTGGACTTGAACAGCCTTTACGACCAGGTCCATCTGTTCAAGGCAGCAGTGCCCACCTTTTCCCGGACCCTAAAGGACATCGCCCTCAACTGCAGCCCCAACACCTCACACAGGAGCTACACATAGAGGGCTCACGTCGAGAGGACCTACATCCAGACCACAGCTCCACCAGCCACACCCCCACCCCCACCCTAACCAAGATCAGACCTATGCCCCTCCTGCCCACCCCATGCCCCCCACTCCTGCAAAGAGGGCCTCAACATGAAAGTCACACATACGCCCAGGCCGTGAGCAGGCAAACAGGCTCAACCCCCACTCTTACACTAGCCCAAGCCAATGGCATGTACCAGATGCTCAGCAGGCTCTGCTCACACTTACTGGTCTGAGGCCAAACCACATGACTAACCACATTGGACACTTTATGGAACACAAAGCCTTCACTATCTCATCCTGGAATATCCAAGGCCTGAGGTCATCTGCCTTTGGCCTAAAGAGCAGGAACCTAGACTTGACCAAAGAAATCAGAAATACAGACATTGTCATCCTACAAGAAACATGGTATAGAGGAGATGGACCCACTGGTTGCCCTCTAGGTTACAGAGAGCTGGTAGTCCCATCCACCAAACTACCAGGTGTGAAACAGGGAAGGGACTCTGGGGGTATGCTAATTTCGTATATAGAGCAGACCTACAGTGGGGGAAAAAATGTATTTAGTCAGCCACCAATTGTGCAAGTTCTCCCACTTAAGAAGATGAGAGAGTCCTGTAATTTTCATCATAGGTACACGTCAACTATGACAGACAAAATGAGGGAAAAAAATCCAGAAAATCACATTGTAGGATTTTTTATGAATTTATTTGCAAATTATGGTGGAAAATAAGTATTTGGTCAATAACAAAAGTTTCTCAATACTTTGTTATATACCCTTTGTTGGCAATGACACAGGTCAAACGTTTTCTGTAAGTCTTCACAAGGTTTTCACACACTGTTGCTGGTATTTTGGCCCATTCCTCCATGCAGATCTCCTCTAGAGCAGTGATGTTTTGGGGCTGTCGCTGGGCAACATGGACTTTCAACTCCCTCCAAAGATTTTCTATGGGGTTGAGATCTGGAGACTGGCTAGGCCACTCCAGGACCTTGAAATGCTTCTTACGATGCCACTCCTTCGTTGCCCGGGCAGTGTGTTTGGGATCATTGTCATGCTGAAAGACCCAGCCACGTTTCATCTTCAATGCCCTTGCTGATGGAAGGAGGTTTTCACTCAAAATCTCACGATACATGGCCCCTTTCATTCTTTCCTTTACACGGATCAGTCGTCCTGGTCCCTTTGCAGAAAAACAGCCCCAAAGCATGATGTTTCCACCCCCATGCTTCACAGTAGGTATGGTGTTCTTTGGATGCAACTCAGCATTCTTTGTCCTCCAAACACGACGAGTTGAGTTTTTACCAAAAAGTTCTATTTTGGTTTCATCTGACCATATGACATTCTCCCAATCCTCTTCTGGATCATCCAAATGCACTCTAGCAAACTTCAGACGGGCCTGGACATGTACTGGCTTAAGCAGGGGGACACGTCTGGCACTGCAGGATTTGAGTCCCTGGCGGCGTAGTGTGTTACTGATGGTAGGCTTTGTTACTTTGGTCCCAGCTCTCTGCAGGTCATTCACTAGGTCCCCCCGTGTGGTTCTGGGATTTTTGCTCACCGTTCTTGTGATCATTTTGACCCCACGGGGTGAGATCTTGCGTGGAGCCCCAGATCGAGGGAGATTATCAGTGGTCTTGTATGTCTTCCATTTCCTAATAATTGCTCCCAGAGTTGATTTCTTCAAACCAAGCTGCTTACCTATTGCAGATTCAGTCTTCCCAGCCTGGTGCAGGTCTACAATTTTGTTTCTGGTGTCCTTTGACAGCTCTTTGGTCTTGGCCATAGTGGAGTTTGGAGTGTGACTGTTTGAGGTTGTGGACAGGTGTCTTTTATACTGATAACAAGTTCAAACAGGTGCCATTAATACAGGTAACGAGTGGAGGACAGAGGAGCCTCTTAAAGAAGAAGTTACAGGTCTGTGAGAGCCAGAAATCTTGCTTGTTTGTAGGTGACCAAATACTTATTTTCCACCATAATTTGCAAATAAATTCATAAAAAATCCTACAATGTGATTTTCTGGAATTTTTTTTCTAAATTTGTCTGTCATTGTTGAGGTGTACCTATGATGAAAATTACAGGCCTCTCTCATATTTTTAAGTGGGAGAACTTGCACAATTGGTGGCTGACTAAATACTTTTTCCCCCCACTGTACCTGACAACTGTGACTGACCCAAACTTAAGGAAAGCTTTCACTATGTACAGACTCAGTGAGCATAGCCTTGCTATTGAGAAAGGCCGCCATAGGCAGACCTGACTCTCAAGAGAAGACAGGCTATGAGCACACTGCCCACAAAATGAGGTGGAAACTGAGCTGCACTTCCTATCCTCCTACTAAATGTATGACCATATTAGAGACACATATTTCCCTCAGATTACACAGATCCACAAAGAATTAGAAAACAAACCCAATTTTGATAAACTCCCATATCTATTGGGTGAAATACCACAGTGTGCCATCAAACCAGCAAGATTTGTGACCTGTTGCCACAAGAAAAGGGCAACCAGTGAAGAACAAACACCATTGTAAATACAACCCATATTTATGTTTATTTATTTTCCCTTTTGTACTTTAACTATTTGCACATAGTATTGGAACCTTTGTGAGTGTAACGTTTACAGTTCATTGTTATTGTTTATTTCACTTTTGTTTATTATCTACTTCACTTGCTTTGGCAATGTTAACATATGTTTCCCATGCCAATAAAGCCCTTAAATTGAATTGAATTGAATTGAGAGAGAGAGAGAGAGAGAGAGAGAGAGAGAGAGAGAGAGAGAGAGAGAGAGAGAGAGAGAGAGATTATTTGCAACACTATCAGGGAAAGAAGAACTCAAATATCTATTAGGAGAAAATACACAATGTGAGAGGCTGTTTGCATATAACTGTCCCTCAACTCACCAAATGTTATACAATTATTATACAATTGCTTTCCTTAAATTAGAATTAAACTCATTCTAATCCATTCAATCTAAATGTGCCCAGTACAAATGCATATTACCTGTACACTTACCAAGAACTATAGGATAGGCCTATAAAATAGATGCAGAGACAGCCAGGGCCTAAAAGGTAAACAACATAATGAAAAAGAGAACAACAGAAAATGATTGCTTGTGTATCTGAATAACTAACTTTTCATGATCAACATTTGAAAAGCTTCAATTTCCATATCCTTAAGGGACCAGTGGAGGAAGGGGACCTGCAACTTGACAGCTGAAGACAGATCTCAAAGACTCCCCCACCCAACTCCACTTTTGTTTATTCAAGTGAACGGTCAAGATGAGAAAGCCTTGATAAACAGCATACCTGACCGTATGCCTCTCAGTCTAGGAGTTTGCAGGTAGTGGGTCAGTCGAGGACAGAAGATGCTCCCTCTTGGTCAGGATATGCAGCTGCCGTCGCTCACCATGAAAGCCCAACCAATGAGTTGCATGAGACGATACAGGGAGTCTGAAGAGCCACTTCGAAGGTATGAAGGTTATCTTTAGACTACTTAACCTACTTGGAATATGGAAGTAAAAACCACTTCAATAAATTATTTTCAACATTTGCAGTTATCCGATAATATGGAGACCATGGATTCCCTGTCACAGAGAAACTGGACTTCTAGAAAAAGTAAGGACATTCCCTTCTCTGCAACTGCTTTAGGCCTACAATTAAATTATGAAGTAATTCAATTTCATCCAACCTATCATCACAAGAAACCTGTAGCCTAGTAAACAAGATTATCTAATACTTAACTGACACAGGTCCTTGGAAATGCTATATCTTTTTTATTGTATAGGTTTACTAATTTGAGTTAAAAATGAACCTGCCTACTTGTCCTCTTTAGTTTGGCCAAGATAATGTGTCATCAAGAACCAGACAGATGACCAAAGGTGCCCATGGATTCCAGCACCCTGTCAGGTATGTAGACTGTTAGCAGTTGAGAGAAGATCGCAAGTTGGTATTGTAACCACATTGAGACAAATTTTGGGAAAAGAGCTGTGTCCTGAATCAATTTGATGATTTGATGTAACTATCACCTTTATAAAGACAATTTTTGTATATTCTACTTTCTTTAAATAGTAAAACACAGATGTATTTAAAAATTCTAAATACATTCATCTGATCCATAGGCTCTTCATGCCGAAGTCCAGGACTGAGGAATATCTGTCTCATTTGGGGAAGAAGGTCTTGGACAGTTTCCCTGTCCAAGCCACTCTCCACTTCTACAACGATGACTCCAGCTCTGAGGAGGAGGATGATGAAGATATGGAGGAAGAGCTGGAGGTTAATTCACACAGTTTGGATCACAGGTCCCATCCACTCAGAGAGAATTCAGAGGTAGCTAGTCTTTGCTGTTTTGGAAACAAGCAGGGGTGATTGGACAAGGGAGACGGACAGTGCAGCAGGTCACAGGAGACATGATACTTCCGCGGTGAGGGTGTAGTAGAGGATCCATGGTGTTCACCTGAGACAGCCACAGGAAGCCGGGAAGGGCCAGGTCACTGGCTGCATGAGGCCTCACTGAGGTGATTCTGTTTACACCAGCTCAGTGTCAACACACCTTTAACCTGGATATGGCAATTTTCCTTGACAACGTCTTATGTTCTCAGGACCTTGTCATGCAAACTCAAGTTGGCCTTGTGCTGGTCCCTCCTTTTGTGTTTGTAGTGAAACATTTTCTATGCTTTCTATCTTTTGTATTTATAATAATTTGTAATGTGTGTATGAAAAAGTGTGTGTTATAAATTGCTGGACATTTGAGTTACTGTGTAGATGGTTTGTTGGTTGAAATGTAAAGAATGTATGTGGATAGAATTTTATATTACTGTTGTTATGGATGCAAAGTAAACTTAAAAGGCTTTTTTCTTTATTAATTTTAATTATTTTAGCATTTGAGTTAAGCAATAAACATTTATTTCAAAATCGTATAATTTTCCTGCACTTCTTGTGGGCATGGATGAATACTTTTGTTCAGGATTGATTCACATGTCAGGGTCTTTAATATACCCTCAGACAGGACAGAAGTAATTTCCAATGGGACATGAATGATAAAGCCTCTCTATGTCCTATTAATGTCATAACCATAGACACATAAGAAATGACAACCACCCAGATTAGCTCATTTGTTATCAAAGTTGAGTCTTGATTTTATAGTCCATAAGCCGGGGGGGGGGTTGGTCGGGCTCACTTGAACCAACAATGTCTCATAGTGATTTTTTTTAAGGTTTATGTCCCTAGAGATGGAAAATGTGTGATAGAAAGCTACCATTGCTGCACTGCTGTGTGTTATCACTCTCTCTTGCATCCCTCCATTCCATTCATTTTCCCCATAGAGATTATACCCTATGACAATGTCAGTATACAACACAACTGATTGGCTCAAACACATTAAGAAGGAAATAAATTCCACAAATTAACTTTTAAGAAGGCACACCTGTTAATTGAAATGCATTCAAGGTGACTACCTCATGAAGCTGGTTGAGAGAATGCCAAGAGTGTGCAAAGCTGTCATCAAGGCAAAGGGTGGCTATTTGAAGAATCTGAAATATAAAATATATTTTGATTTGTTTAACACTTTTTTGGTTACTACATGATTCCATATGTGTTATTTCATAGTTTTGATGTCTTCACTATTATTCTACAATGTAGAAAATAGTAAAAATAAAGAAAAACCCTTGAATCAGTAGGTGTTCTAAAACTTTTGACCGGTAGTGTATGTGTAATGGTTTTCTGCTCTCATCATCAGGTAAAAACGTGTAGGCATTCCTATGGAATTTTACATTGTAATGTATGCGGCGAGTTTCTAGTTCTCTGTTTTATGAAAACAGTTAATAGGATAACATTGAATATCATTTTAATCAGCTTACATCCATGACTATTCACATGTATATGTCCATATTATGTTTGAAGATGAAATATTGCAATTATTGATCATATCTTCAGAAATCAGCAATTTAGATAGCTTTTTGGGCATATTCTTACTACAATCCTGTGAATAATGTAACATCTTTATATATATGGCACACCTGGCTCACGTTGTTGTGTATTCTAAATCACTATTAACATTGAAGATATTTTTGGGCATACTACAATTATATTTCATACAGTTATGTTCATGCGAAATTGTCCAATAAGACCCCATTGAGTTGTTTGGCAGCCATATTAGAAAAAATGCTTCTGTGGGGTTAATGAGTGAATTCTGTGATGGCCCGGTTATCTACAAATCTTTTTAAAACCCTGTTCTATCTGTGTCTGTGCAATTTGGTGCCTATATCACAAAAGTTACAATCCAAAAACATAGCTGCCCCATTACAAGGAATTCTATGGGTAAGTTTCCAACATTCTAATGTCAACGGCACAATATGGGAGATTTTAATAATAGTTGTAGCTGGTGCTTTCAAAGTTAGTGATATTATATATAATTTGAAAGGTAATTTCATGACCTTTCAGAACCACTTGTCAAACAAAGTTTAAAATGTATCAGGGTTTTTCTGTTTTAAAGACATTTATACAGGTAATTCTGATATGTACCCTAGAGGTCAACGGTTAAAGTTCTATTGATCTGAACTTTCCGAAAATTTAACTGATGGATAACTGCAAATCTAATCTTTCCAATTATATATAATTAAAGGGTATAAGCGAGCAATAACTTGGTGTATACTGACATTGTTTGTCCTAGGGTCAAATCCCTATGGGAAAATGAATGGAATGGAGGGATGAAAGAGGGTGATAACACAGAAGGCTCCCATTGCTGCACTGCTATCACATATTATCCAACTCTAGGGACATAGCCCTTTAAAAAATCACTATGAGACATCGTCGGCCCAAGTGAGTCCGACGGCCCAAATTTGGGGGTCTGGCTCATGGATTATTAGAGGTATTTGCTATTCAGCAAATTCCATTTGGGAGTAAACTAGTAAGTAAACTATTCCTAAATATGCAAAGACCACAGTGAGTATCAATAATTTAATATGGGCTGACCCATATTCTTTTATTATTTTTTAGGCAGCAGGTATTGCTCCAAAAGGACATTACCGTGCAACACAAAGGCAAATAGAATCAGATGGCATGAACCTGTCAACATTTAGGTCTTGGTATCCTAGAAGGCCCCGCTAACCACTAGGACAAGCCAGTACAGGCTCATGGTACAAAGGGAAGAGACAGACCCAATCAACCATGACAAGCAAAATAGAGGATGAGGAACAGGCATATGTCAAACACTGCAAATCCACTGACTCTTTCAGTACATACACTGAGTGTACAAAACATTAGGAACACCTGCTCTTTCCATGACATAGACTGACTAGGTGAAAGCTATGATCCCTTATTGATGTAATCTGTTAAATCCACTTCAATCAGTGTAGATGAAGGGGAGGAAACAGGTTAAAGAAGGATTTTTAAGCCTTGAGACAATTGTGACATGGATTGTGTATGTTTGCCATTCAGAGGGTGAATGGGCAAGACAGAATATTTAAGTGCCTTTGAACGGGGTATAGTAGTAGGTGCCAGGCGCACCGGTTTGAGTGCTGCTGGGTTTTTCATGCTCAACAGTTTCCTGTGTGTATCAAAAATGGTCCACCTCCCAAAGGACATCCAGCCAACTTGACACAATTGTGGGAAGAATTGGAGTCAACATGGGCCAGCACCCCTGTGGAATGCTTTCGAAACCTTGTAGAGTCCATACCCCAACGAATTGAGGCTGTTCTGGAGGCAAAAGGAGTGCAACTCAATATTAGGAAGATGTTTCTAATGTTTTGTACACTCAGTGTATAAAATAACATCTCTCACATGAATAACATAGTGAATTTCAATGGCAGAGAAAGAGTATAAACACCCCAAACCTCATTAATTTACAGTGACCAAGGTCTTATATGGGATCTTCTAAACATTATGGTCCACCACTGAATATTTCCCAGGAACTTAGAGAACAGAAAACAGTTGGAAAACCATTGGATTGGTCACTCCCTTATCACTCCTAATGACACTTGGTCCAGTGATCAAAGCCTGGGCTAAAGGTGAGACTGGGGGCAAGTTTGGCCCTCAAACGACTGGCCAGCATGGTCTTTCGCCCGACCCCAACCCCCCCCAACACACACACAAGGGGGAATGGTAGTGGTCTCTCTCCATCATCAGGTCCAGCTTCATTTCCAAGCAGGGGAGAAGGACCTGGTGGCCCTCCAGAGGTTAAACGCTGGCCAGCCATCTGATCCCAACCTTTTGTTTGTTTATGATGGTTTATCTGGGCGGCCTGGCTGAGGTGGCCGGCTGACCTGTCTGGTGGGCTGGCTGGGACAAGCTAGGGGCGAGGGGAGAGGGGAGGGGGTTGTCAGGCCCCAGTGGGTGGCTTGGTCACTGAGGTGGGCAGCAGACTGATTGAGGAGTCTCAGCGAAATCCTGAAGATGAGGAGATAGTGAGGTGACCATTTCACTTGCAGTCTGATGAGTTCAGGAGGTCATAAACCTACTGAACCCCAACTGAACGGAGCACATCATAGAAGCACAAGCATAATGCTCGATTTGGATCATCCAAAGGCTAAAGTATTATAAAATGGAGAAGTCGATGATCTCATATTTATGACTTATCAATATTAATGCAGTCATTGGATTAATATAAGACCAATTCATCTCATTCCACACAACACCCCTAATTCTATCAATTCCATCTGCATTTTTATTAGTTAGTCGAGTGGTCCGTGATGACGGATTATCAAAAGAGGTTGAAGAGCAGATAATAATAATAATATGCCATTTAGCAGACGCTTTTATCCAAAGCGACTTACAGTCATGCGTGCATACATTTTTTTTGTGTATGGGTGGTCCCGGGGATCGAACCCACTACCTTGGCGTTACAAGCGCCGTGCTCTACCAGCTGAGCTACAGAGGACCACAGATGATGTGCAAGCTGCTGTGGTCAGGTCACCTGGCTGCCCAGGGTTCATCTGCAAGTCAAATATTTGTCCTGTCACATGGAGGTGATGGAAAAGGTGCATCTAAAACCTCAGCAAACTCCAACGGTGAGGAGTGATGCCAGTTATGGCGACAAAAATGCCCTCTGCTTGTCCCGAGCCTTCAAATAAGACCACAGGCTCAACACAGTGGATGGTGGACCATTATATCATACAGGTATGTTGCAAGATCAATACCATTGATCAACAGCGTTGATTTATAATAAACAATGTTCAAATGCAAAATAAACTAAATAACATATGCAGCAAACAGAGGTAAATTGGTTGTCTACCCTCAGCTCAGCAGCATATAGAAAAATGATGCATATAGTCTATATTTGTGCTGCACTTCCAGTTACCTTTGACAGGTGTTGAGTGTAAAGTGGACTATAGACAGAAAGATAGCAAGATGTGACAAGACAGCTGACATTTCTCTGATAATTGAAATGGATATCCACAGCCTGGAGTCCTATACAAATATAATAATTAAAATCAGTTCACATGGTTTTAAGAAATGAACTTGGTGAGAAGATAATGAACAATGAACATATTAACATGAAAATGTGTGTGAAGTTTGTGATAAATGTTACAAAACTGCATCCAATAACTTTCTACGGAATGCTCTTCTTGAGGAGCTTCTGAGATTTATTTTCAGACGACTTGTGAATCCAGGCCAAAATCATTCATATACCAAAACAAAAGGAAAAGTGCAATAAAAAAATGAAATAATTTGGAAGACATTTACAATAGGGAAAAAACAGTAGCGCTTAACAAATACTTAATAAGTATCATGAGAAAACACTTTTCCATCAAGGAATTATCTCTGCAGTGCATATAAAACATAGCATCAATCAGCTATTTGTTAATTTTCTTAGTCAGCATCCTCACTGAGGTAATGCCATTCTTCCTAGTCCTGTATTCACTTTGCGACAAATCTGGTTGTCATTGAGGTGATAAATAGAAAATTCTGTTCACTTCACTGATGGAGACATCCTTTAATCTGGGTATGGCCCTCTTCTGGCAGTCATCTATCCGCTGACCTCTGGCATAGACATCTGTTCGACAATAAGGTAGGCTATAGGTTACAGTGAAGGATACTAGATTAAGAGAGACAGATATTAGAAAACCTAATAGAAAACAAATCCATGGTACAAAATCCTGTAGCGCTAAAAACTTCTAGGTAGTAAATACTGTCGTGTGTTAGCCTAATTGTTTTATGATATACAATTATGGAGTTGAGTTTCCTTTCTTGGCCATGACTTACTACAAAACATTTTTATTTTCATCTCAAATGGGACTTCTTGGTTTAAAACAGGGACAAAGATAGGAATTCACAACAGTAGAGTGATTGTAGAACCTTCCAGACATCTGGAGGAACCAGATGAACCTGATGCTTACCTGTTATGTTGTCCACTGAGCTGAGTGGAGCAGTGTTAATCATGTTCACCCCAAACAACATGACTACACAGACTACTACTGCAGCCAGCAGATAGATTGGCACAGCAACAGCCCAATACCTACAGAGACAGCAGATGGTACAAAAAAAACAAAAACGAATCAAATAAAATTGTATTGGTCACATACACATATTTAGCAGATGTTTTGCAGGTGTAGCCAAATGCTTGTGTTCCTAGCTCCAACAGTGCAGTAGTATCTAACAACTCACAACAATACACACAAATCTAAAAGTAAAAGAATGTAATTAAAAAATATATAAAATATTAGGACGAGCAATATCGGAGTGGCATAGACTAAAATACAGTAGAACAGAATACAGTTTATACATATGAAATGAGTAAAGCAGTATGTAAACATTATTAAAGTGACTAGTGTTCCATTAAAGTGGCCAGTGATTCCATGTCTATTTATATAGGGCAGCAGCCTCTAAGGTGCAGGGTTGAGTAACCGGGTGGTAGCCGGCTAGTGATGGCTCACGACCATCTTGGGTAATATACAAAATACAGGTCTCAAGGAAAAAGATTAGCCGAACGTCAATAAATTCAGTATGGTAGCTCTACCTGATATAATGATGTATTATTTTTCTATATGGATTATTAGGTAAATCATGAACATGTTCAGTGGACTCATTTCGATTAACTTACTTTTGAGGCCAGTAAGTAAGCCCTATTGAATGAAGCCATTCATCTGGTACATAGGCCCACACCAAATACAAAACTGCAGAACGAGCAGAAATGGGTAAAAAACATAAAGTACATAAAAAATTCAGATTGACACTACATTTGAGAGCACATTTGGCATTTTCACATAGCCTACAGAGAATAATATGGTATTGAATCCCCAACTTCAACAGTCATTGCCTTAAACAGACTAAACACAAAGAACATATAACTGGGACTTACAGAAGCCAAATTGTGAGCCAAGGAACAGAACAAAGCCGTAGATGGCCCTTTCTGGCAGGGGGGAGGGAGAATTTTCCACCATGACAATCTGAATCCACACAGAAAAGAGAGATGAGATAGAGGTAAATATGACACAGCTGAATTGATTGGTTATAACAGGCTAATGTATGATTAGAGATATTCACCACAACAACAGCACGCTTCGTTCGAAGATACAGTAACTGTACGCTTTTTCGTAGGGCTAGGAAGGGAAATTCAGAACCATCTTCTAAATCTTGTAACCGTCTTTATTATTTAGCTACGCTTCTTCTTCATCTGTGGGGTTTATGGCAGACAACATCCAAAACTTTAGCTACGCTACATTCCGGAAGTGGATGTCTGTAACTTTGTCATGTGACTTCAAACGTAAGCGAGGGGGGAATGTTTGCACTAGCTATATCGTAAAAATTCATTTAAACAAAAATTAGCTTTTAATTTAAGGGTAGGGTTAGGCATACGGTTATCAGTGTGGTTAAGGTTTAAAACACAATTTTAAGAAGATAAATTGTCCAAATAGGCGGGGACTGCTTATTTATGTATTTGGCTGGGAAACTAACAACTGATTAGAAATGCAAGCAACGCCTCCCCCTATGGTAAACTGATCATGTTGCGAGCCTTAAAATAGATTTGAAAATAATTTCAGGAAGTGAACAAGAAAGGCAAGTTGTGTGCACTGGCCCTTATTTTTTTTGTAGCTAGTGTACTTAATGGTCGTGATGTCGAGATAAAGTAGCTGAATGTTGTCTCGCGGCAAAGCCAGGAAAGAACGGTGCGTAGTTGCCAATCCCAGCCAAACTAGCTTGCTAACAAAATTAAATGAGCTAGCTAACGTTTGCTTCAGGTGAGGTTCGATGCTCTGGGGAATCAGCCAGATGTTTTTCCCCCCCACCGTAGTTAGACGGATGTAACTTTCCTATATATCATCTAGCTAACGTTATAGCTAGTTAGCTACTATTGATAAGAAGCACAGTAACGTTACCAGAAAGCGAATTAACCAATTTTGTTGTAACGTTAGCACTTAACTAGACACGTTATTTGGACGCGGAACTATCACTTTTAGCTAACATTAGTTAGCGAGCTTAGCTCGTTTTAGCAGTCAATTCACCTGTGGTACGTTATTTTGGTACACGTTCGTTGAGTAATAGCTAGCTAGCTAACTTGGCTAGCTAGCTTGTCGAAATAATTAGCTAGCTAACGTTAACTCATGTAATGTTAGTTAGCTACTGTGTATTGTCACGACTCAATCATGACATGACATGATTGTTGTTGTTTCAGACTTACCAAAATGTCAGATTCAGACTCTGGTCCAGAGTTTGTGGACTACGATATCAGACACGGGGCGAAACTTGTGAGTAAAAAGGATGATTGACGTGTCATTAAATATTGACGTAAGACCGAAGAGAATACATATAAAATACATTTGAAAATGAACTACTAGTGCTATCATGTAGCAATACGTCATTAGACATTACATTATTAACAAAAATGTTCTTCCTCAGATCTATGAAAAAGACAGTCCCTTTGTAGCCCTGCAACCTCCAGGTAAGAAGTAGCTAGAACACTAGTTGTTTACACATATCTAGTACTGACACAAACACTAGCTAGTTGCTTGCACATAGTACTGACACTCACTGTGGTGGTTGGGAATGGGTATTGGGGCTGGACAGGTGTGACCCAGACCCTCCACTGTTTGAGACTACAAACATCCATTCAGATTGGGGGTGGCGATCGAGGGGTGATTGAGGATCAAATGGGGGGGACTAATATGTTCATCTGTATAACCCAAATTCTGTGTTTATGTCGCAGATTATATATATGAGCGATGGAATAAAATCCCTGTCTGTTTGAAGAAGAAAGCTGCCCAGCTGATGCATGTATCTGCCTTTTGGTACCACATTCTGCTTTGTCGAGAGAATCACAACACCACACGCTGGGCTGTGCAAGTGGGCTTCCTAGACTCAAAGTAAGGAGATAATTTTTTGAGTCATTTAACGCTCTTCCTTGCCACACGTTCTTTATTCCTTAGTACAGTGTGTTAAGACTCAAGTTCTCATTTCACCTTCTCTAGTTACGGCAATGACCTGAGTCTGAAGAGACTGCACAGGATAGAAATATTGGAAGCTATCCTCAGAGCGATGGAAAAAGGATGTGTAAGTTCCTTGTTACAATGAAAATGGCACCATACTGGAATTGCAATGTTGAATCTGAGAAGACTCATGTTGGCATTTGTTTTCTCTTCCAGTTATTTGAAGATCAGACGAGGCATATGATCTGGATAAGCAATAAGTTTAACTTGGTAAGAGGAATGCCTGCCTTTGCTTCATTAAAAAAAAAAAATGCAAATATGATGCATCATCACTGCTTCCTCTTGCTCATATCTTACTCAATTTTTAGAGCAACATGGTTTAGTGCCCCTCTATTTTCTAATAAGGAAGTATCCACGCAGCACAGTAATTATTCATAAGAATACAAGAATGTTCTCTTCATGCCTGGGAAATGGGGCAAAATGCTCCTTAGTGTTTGTGAGGAAGCCAAAGGGTGGTGTGCCCATCTTCATTGGTTAAGAACTTCTCAGGAATAAATGTACACCCTGCTGACCCGGTACATACCCAGGAGAAAAGGAAACAGGAATGTCCTGTTTAGCGATTCTTAAATTTGAATCGCTGATTACGTTGGAGTCATTCCTCAACCTGATTTGTCACATGGAATATCTAGCATTCTGATGCACATGATTTTCCCATTATGACCCATTGCCGATTGGTGTGTTGGGCTGGGCGATATAGCCAAAATATAATATCACAATATTTTTCAGATTTATGGCATTATTTGGCAGTATTTTACATTTCTTAATAGTAAAAGTTCTAAATATGTTTTGTACATAGCGCAGGACCCTAACATAGCATCAAATTAATTCAAATGCTTTTAATGGGCTTTCTTCATTCTGATTTTTGTTTTATACTCAACCAAACTAGGACAAAACTGACAAAATAATCTAATTTGTAGTGCTAAATATATGAAAAGTTCTATCAAAATACCTTTTTATAGAGGTTATTGTAAAAATATACCTTAGAATACGATATATCGCCCAGCCCTAATTGTCATAAGACAATGGTAAAGATTATTAGTGTTTTGTTGACTGGTAACTCTCTGTGTTCAGCATGTGCTGGAGGTCCTGGACGACGCGATATGCTGGCTGGAGCGGACAGGAGAGCCCCGCATCAAGCAGCAGGTTCAGGAGCTGGGCCCCAGAGGGAACTGCTTTGCTGCTCTTCAACTCATCTTCGCTGAGTGTAAGAACCACTCAGAGTCAGGCAGTGTCCTCTATTGCTGTTCATATGGTGATCTGATGATGGACTGTGACTGTTTGAGCCTCAGACCGACATGTTTTTACAGCCTTCTCTCACAAAATATTAACCCACTGATGCCCAGTCAGGGCTTAGTGGTAGGTAGGTTAGAAAGGTAAAACGTGATAGGTAGGTTAGAGGCTGAAAGGTTACTGGGAAATAAAATGTCACATGGTTTATCCTACTCAGGAAACTTTATTTCTATTTTTTATTTTTTAGGGGGTACTCAGGAAACTTGGTTAGCAGTGAATGGTCCCAATATGAACATCATTAACCTCTTCTCTCATCAGATGCTCACTATACACAGGCCATGGGAGTCAGTAGGAAAAAAATTATGCGAGAGCTTGCGCAGGGTCCCTGCCAATGGTCTATTGAGGTAAGAAGAAGCCTGTATTTGATCATATTTTGTCATCCTTGAAGGACCCAATGCCCTTGCCTAATTTTAGCTTAAGATATTAAGATGGTCACAATTGTAGTAATCTGTTTTAGAAGATATACAGTGAGGGGGAAAAAAGTATTTGATCCCCTGCTGATTTTGTACGTTTGCCCACTGACAAAGACATGATCAGTCTATAATTTTAATGGTAGGTTTATTTGAACAGTGAGAGACAGAATAACAACAAAAAAATCCAGAAAAACGCATGTCAAAAATGTTATGAATTGATTTGCATTTTAATGAGGGAAATAAGTATTTAGTACTTGGTGGCAAAACCCTTGTTGGCAATCACAGAGGTCAGATGTTTCTTGTAGTTGGCCACCAGGTTTGCACACATCTCATTTTACATTTACATTTTAGTCATTTAGCAGACGCTCTTATCCAGAGCGACTTACAGTTAGTGAATACATATTTTTGTATACTGGCCCCCCGTGGGAATCGAACCCACAACCCTGGCGTTGCAAACGCCATGCTCTATCAACTGAGCTACATCCCTGCCGGCCATTCCCTCCCCTACCCTGGACGACGCTGGGCCAATTGTGCGCCGCCCATGAGTCTCCCGGTCGCGGCCGGCTGCGACAGAGCCTGGATTCGAACCAGGATCTCTAGTGGCACAGTTAGCACTGCGATGCAGTGCCTTAGACCACTGCGCCACTCAGGAGTACAGTACTCAGGAGGGATTTTGTCCCACTCCTCTTTGCAGATCCTCTCCAAGTCATTAAGGTTTCGAGCCTGACGTTTGGCAACTCGAACCTTCAGCACCCTCCACAGATTTTCTATCGGATTAAGGTCTGGAGACTGGCTAGGCCACTCCAGGACCTTAATGTGCTTCTTCTTGAGCCACTCCTTTGTTGCCTTGGCCGTGTGTTTTGAGTCATTGTCATGCTGGAATACCCATCCACGACCCATTTTCAATGCCCTGGCTGAGGGAAGGAGGTTCTCACCCAAGATTTGACGGTACATGGCCCCGTCCATCGTCCCTTTGATGCGGTGAAGTTGTCCTGTCCCCTTAGCAGAAAAACACCCCCAAAGCATAATGTTTCCACCTCCATGTTTGACTGTGGGGATGGTGTTCTTGGGGTCATAGGCAGCATTCCTCCTCCTCCAAACACGGCAAGTTGAGTTGATGCCAAAGAGCTCGGTTTTGGTCTCATCTGACCACAACACTTTCACCCAGTTCTCTGAATCATTCAGATGTTCATTGGCAAACTTCAGACGGTCCTGTATATATGCTTTCTTGAGCAGGGGGACCTTGCGGGCGTTGCAGGATTTCAGTCCTTCACGGCGTAGTGTGTTACCAATTGTTTTCTTGGTGACTATGGTCCCAGCTGCCTTGAGATCATTGACAAGATCCTCCCGTGTAGTTCTAGGCTGATTCCTCACCGTTCTCATGATCATTGCAACTCCACGAGGTGAGATCTTGCATGGAGCCCCAGGCCAAGGGAGATTGACAGTTCTTTTGTGTTTCTTCCATTTGCAAATAATCACACCAACTGTTGTCACCTTCTCACCAAGCTGCTTGGCGATGGTCTTGTAGCCCATTCCAGCCTTGTGTAGGTCTACAATCTTGTCCCTGACATCCTTGGAGAGCTCTTTGGTCTTGGCCATGGTGGAGAGTTTGGAATCTGATTGATTGCTTCTGTGGACAGGTGTCTTTTATACAGGTAGCCAGCTGAGATTAGGAGCACTCCCTTTAAGAGTGTGCTCCTAATCTCAGCTCGTTACCTGTATAAAAGACACCTGGGAGCCAGACATCTTTCTGATTGAGAGGGGGTCATGTGTTTTTCTGGATTTTGTTGTTGTTATTCTGTCTCTCACTGTTCAAAGAAACCTACCATTAAAATGATCGACTGATCATTTCTTTGTCAGTGGGCAAACGTACAAAATCAGCAGGGGATGAAATACTTTTTTCCCTCACTGTACTGTCTTTTTGTAATGGACTAAGCTGATCTTTATGTTTTACACCAGTGGATTTGCCCGCGAGGGGATCCAATCCGGTCTGCGGGTGACTTGAGAGAGATAGATATATATTTTTTTAGTGTTTTGGGGGGAAACAAACTTAATATACTTTAAAATGACTAAAATCGAAACTGTGTAGAAGTGATAATGGACCTACGGTGCCTATAGAAAGTCTACACCCGCTTTAACTTTTTTTACATTTTGCTGGTGTAAAATTAAATCTAAAAAGGTACTAAATTGGATGTTTTTTCCTACAGATCTACACAACCTACTCCACATTTTCAAAGTGAAAGAAAGTTATAAAATGTTTTCCTAATTATCTCACTGAAAATTAAAACTAGATCCCAGGGTTAGGTTTTCAGAATATTGAGGTGGGTTTTCCTCTAGCTTTTTACCTGGGCTTTGCTTCTTTTATATTTATTTTGATCCTGCAACTTCCCAGTCCCAGCCAATGACAAGTCTATCCATAACATGATGCTGCCGCCACAATACTTGAAAATAGAGAGGGTTTCACTCGGTTGTTGGATTGGATTTGATCCAACCCTGTAGTTTTTAATTTAGGCCAAAAAGTTCATTTATTTGCTGTTGTCTTGCAGTATTACTTAACAGCCTTGTTGCGAACAGAATGGTTGATTGAGTGGATTAAAAAAAAAACACTGCTTTTCACTTTGTCATTGAGGCCAGTAATATGGAGTGAATGCAATGTTTTGTATTTTCAAGTATTGTGGTGGCAGCATCATGTTATGGGCGTGCTTGTCACCGGCAGGGACTGTGGTGATTGTTAGGATGAAAATAAATATGAAAAGAGCAAATACCAGGTAAAAAGTTAAGGGGGTGGAGACTTTTCCAATTATGTTATTTAATATTATTATATTGTTAGTATTTTTTGTTGTTGAAAATGTTCAATAACTTTCTTTCACTTTGAAAAAATGGAGTATATTTGGATCTATTGGGAAAAAAATCTAATTAAGCCCTTTTATAGATTTAATTTTTAAGGCAGCAAAAGTAGAGAAATGTGTGGGGTGTAGACTTTCTATAGGCACTCACTCATACAGTTTCTTGACTGTCCAGCTCGCTAATAATTAGCTAAATGAAAGCTAGCCTCGTCGATGTTAGTTCCCCTATATAGGGAACTTTGAGCAGTTCTGGACCGGTTCAGACTGATATTTTGGTGTACAAAGCGCTCTGTGAATGTCGTAGGGTCCAGTGCCTTATAGTGCCAGAAAGCTCCATCTGTCTGCTCTTCACTACCACTCTGTCGGCGGAGCTGACTTGAAGTTTCAGGTTTCCCAGCCAACAATTGCATAGGGAGTGACGTGTCACATTTTCTGGCTTATTCTGACAAAGAATCGATTTGCTCTCCCTCTGAGTGGCAGAGCCCATCCTGGGAGACTGTATATGGAAGGGGACTGTCTAGCAACTCCCAACAGTTGTGGTTTCATCTCGCTGTGATATTCTCTGCTGGATTTGCAGCTCTCAACATGAGAAAATACTCAATTTCATTGAATTGAAACACAACCACTTTCTCTTGGTCACATGGGGACGAAATTACTTTGTGCGTAAAGCTGAAGTTGTAACTAGTCTGCAGCAATTAGAATGGTGTCTCTGCGTCGCTCAGAGGAGGCTTGGCAGAAAATGCTCTCGTCAGTTACAGTGGGGAAAAAAATGTATTTAGTCAGCCACCAATTGTGCAAGTTCTCCCACTTAAAAAGATGAGAGAGGCCTGTAATTTTCATCATAGGTACACGTCAACTATGACAGACAAAATGAGAATTTTTTCCAGAAAATCACATTGTAGGATTTTTAATGAATTTATTTGCAAATGATGGTGGAAAATAAGTATTTGGTCAATAACAAAAGTTTCTCAATACTTTGTTATATACCCTTTGTTGGCAATGACACAGGTCAAACGTTTTCTGTAAGTCTTCACAAGGTTTTCACACACTGTTGCTGGTATTTTGGCCCATTCCTCCATGCAGATCTCCTCTAGAGCAGTTATGTTTTGGGGCTATCGCTGGGCAACACGGATTTTCAACTCCCTCCAAAGATTTTCTATGGGGTTGAGATCTGGAGACTGGCTAGGCCACTCCAGGACCTTGAAATGCTTCTTACGAAGCCACTCCTTCGTTGCCCGGGCGGTGTGTTTGGGATCATTGTCATGCTGAAAGACCCAGCCACGTTTCATCTTCAATGCCCTTGCTGATGGAAGGAGGTTTTCACTCAAAATCTCACGATACATGGCCCCATTCATACTTTCCTTTACACGGATCAGTCGTCCTGGTCCCTTTGCAGAAAAACAGCCCCAAAGCATGATGTTTCCACCCCCATGCTTCACAGTAGGTATGGTGTTCTTTGGATGCAACTCAGCATTCTTTGTCCTCCAAACACGACGAGTTGAGTTTTTACCAAAAAGTTATATTTAGGTTTCATCTGACATTCTCCCAATCCTCTTCTGGATCATCCAAATGCACTCTAGCAAACTTCAGACGGGCCTGGACATGTACTGGCTTAAGCAGGGGGACACGTCTGGCACTGCAGGATTTGAGTCCCTGGCGGCGTAGTGTGTTACTGATGGTAGGCTTTGTTACTTTGGTCCCAGCTCTCTGCAGGTCATTCACTAGGTCTCCCCGTGTGGTTCTGGGATTTTTGCTCACCGTTCTTGTGATCATTTTGACCCCACGGGGTGAGATCTTGCGTGGAGCCCCAGATCGAGGGAGATTATCAGTGGTCTTGTATGTCTTCCATTTCCTAATAATTTGCTCCCACAGTTGATTTCTTCAAACCAAGCTGCTTACCTATTGCAGATTCAGTCTTCCCAGCCTGGTGCAGGTCTACAATTTTGTTTCTGGTGTCCTTTGACAGCTCTTTGGTCTTGGCCATAGTGGAGTTTGGAGTGTGACTGTTTGAGGTTGTGGACAGGTGTCTTTCATACTGATAACAAGTTCAAACAGGTGCCATTAATACAGGTAACGAGTGGAGGA